TGCTAAATTGCCCAGCTTTGTCTCAAATTTGTCATTTTCTTGCTTCCTGTCTCTGAGAGGATGGGATATTAAAGTTGTGTGCCACAATCCTCCCTGAGGCTTTTCTGTCTTGATGATAAGGAAGCAGAACTTTATAATATGGGGTTTATTGTAAGTGCACCCTGTAATATTTTCTCTCTTTAAGAAGTACATAACAACAATCTCAAACTCTGTAACTGTAATTTATATAAAGTACAGAATATGTATCTAATACTTCCCAACTTGAATATTTGTCATTTTAATTTGACCACACAACTAACTATGGCTAATAGTATATTTAACTAAGATATTAGTAGATAAATATGTGATCAGAAATAATAAAGCCGGGCATGGGGGGTGTATGCCTGTAATCCCAGCACTTCTGGGGCTGAGGCAGGAGGATTGTTGTGAGTTTCTGTCTTAGTTACTTTTGTTGCTGAAACAAAATACCCAACACTCAGAGTTAAAAGAGGAAAGGTTTATTTAGCTCGCAGTTTGTAGATGTTTCAATCCATAATTGACTGACTCCCAGGCAGAGTGGCATGGCAGACACACATTGGAGAGAAGAAACCATTCATCCAGGTAAAAAATAGCAGAGCAACAAAGAATGACCACAGCTTCTTCTATCCCTTATATTTTATCCAGGTGGGTAGCACTCACACCCTTAATCCTAGTGTTCTTGATCCTAGCATCATACAATGTATCAATTCCAGTGTCACACACTGTAGATCCAGCCACCTCTGCAAAAGCCCCCTATGACCACATGAGGTTGTGTGGGAACATCCAGACACAAACAATAACAAACCATCCACTATTTTATCCTAAATAAGTGTTCCATGTCCCACCATTGAAGACAAGATACAAGATTATGAAAATGTTGTTATAGTTTTGTTCTTGGCATAAAAGGAAATGCTCACAATATTCTTTTTCTTTGTGTTATCATCCTAATACCAAGTTGTTCTTGAGAGCATTAATTCAACTTTGCTGGAGATGAGTTTCTGTAGTATTAAAACTGCAGTCAGCAGACCCTATATTTCATTAAAATCACTAAGCCTTATTCATCTTTATACCGGCCTACTGAAGAAAATTTCACACACTGAAAATCATTTGAACAAAAATTATAAAATAATATTCTACCAACTGCAATATAATGACAAGGAATTAAAAGAAAACTGTGCATGCATCCGTGCATGTGTGTGTGTGTGTGTGTGTGTGTGTGTGTGTGTGTGTGTGTCAAAGCACACAATTATTTAACTTTGTTAGCACAGCATAGTGGTTAAAAGCACTGCCTCACCCTTAGAAAAAAATCGAAACAGGTCCAAGTCCCTAGCCACCCCAAGTCACCTCAGCAGTGTCCACATCCTCATCTTTACAGCTAAGGCAATAGTGAGAGCTGCCTCACAATACTGTGAAAGCAAGCAGTGACCAAGTATGACCCTCATTAGATGAATCCCACTTTGTAAGTGCTCTTTAATGGTCATACATTCAACTCTTGAACGCATCTTAGCAAGAGTCACTTTACTTCTAGGGGAAAAACTCAAAGTGGAGAGTACTAACTTCCATTTGATCTACAAATGTGGCCCATGCTTCCTAATCCCAGGAAGAACACTCTGGCTCTAAGGTATATCAGCAGCAGGAACCAGCAGAATGGACTTGGCAATAGTAGTCTACTTGCTACAGGTGGTGCTAAGTCTCTAGGGAGCTTCTATCTTCTTTCCTATTATTTCTTCCTCTATTTCACTGAGTGCAGGTGAAGGTCAACAGACATGAGTCTCAGAAACCTGATGGAAGCCAGCTGCTTAGTCATCCTGTCCAAAGGAGTCATTCAAGTAATGGTGGCTTTTAGTTTGAGAGATTTCTTCAAAGATCTTGGGTGTAAACTTGTTTTCTGTGTTCACGTGGTAGCAGACATGTGTCTACTGGCAGCGACTGATCCCTGAGTGTCTTCCAGGCAACCCCTTTTCAGGCATCCAACAATGCAAACCCTCTGTAGGAATCCGAGCACAAGTCCTACTCAGGGATCCAACAGCAGAGAGCACTTTCATCTGTTTTCTGTTTTATAGTGGTGGAATTGTGCAAAATGAATCTTTCCCTATTTGGCTTTTGGAAATTCCCAAAATTGGTGGTGAATATATCTATATTGTCCTTAGCATTGTGGACCGTTCAGTAGCTCTCTTGTGTAGGATTCCATTGTGTAAATCCATTAAATTTACCATCCCATTTTGATGTTATGGGAGTAGTTTTTAGCAGGATACTAATATGTATACTCTAGAACTTGTCTTTTGGGAACACATGATGCAATTGTTGAATCACAGGAATACAACTGTTCATCTTTTTTAGGAGGTGCCAAAAGGTTTGTACCAATTTGCACAGTGCTCAGCAATGGATGAAATCATTGATTCATCCACATCCTTGTTAATACTCAGTATATTCTAGTTTCCAATTCACCCTTCTTGGTGTGAGCTGGTAGTTGATTTTATCTGTATTTCCATGATTCCTTAGGAAGTTGAGTGTTGTTTTCCTTGTTTACTAGACATTGGGTAACCTCTTTTTAAATGTGTGGTTAATTTGACAAGTTTGGGTCTGTCTTTATTGATTTCTCTAGGATGACTATAAATCTTTTTTGGTTTCTCCCTTACTCTGAGTTTTAAATTTTACAATAATTTGTTGTTTCCTCTTTTATATTTTATTTTCCCCTCTAAGAAATCTTTTTATAGAAAAAAATATTTTTGGATGGCCTCTTGGAACATGCTATAAGCTATAAGCTATAAGCTATAAGCTCCAACTATTCTGGAGGCTGAGTCAGAAGGATTCCAAGTTCCAGATCAGGCTGGGAAACTTGGACTCTCTCTTAAAACATAAAAAGGTCTGGAGATGCAACTCAGTGCCCTTGATCTCCATTCCTAGTTTTTAAAAAAACTGAAATAGTTTCTACAGGATGAGAATTATTTTGGACTGAAATCAAGCATTATCAATAGATTGTTTTCTGCATGTGTAAAAACACTGATACCTTCTGGATATTTTCACAGAAGAAATAAAAACATCATACCACAGTGATATATGTGCATCCATGTTTACAGCATCACAATTTGTAACAGCTAAATCTTGGTAACAACCCAAATACCCATCAACTGAGGAATGGATAAAAAAGATGTGGTCTTTTCATAAAATGGAGTACTACTCAGCTATAAAGAAGGATAAATGAGACATTTATAGGGAAATGGAGGCAACTCGAGATCATACTCATAAGTGAACTCAAACCCTCATGTATAAACATCATATTGTCTCCCTAGTGTAAGAAGCTGAAGAGTAAATAAGATAAAAAATGTACAATATTGTGAAATGGGAAGAAAGTGTTCAATAGGAGTGAGAAACTAAGATGCGGAAAGGAGAAAAGAAAAAAAAAGGAAAAATATATAGTAGTTAAGACAGTTACACTACTAATTGCATTAGTTCAATGAGAATAAAGGTTTGTGCCTATATTGTTTGATCAATTTTTCAGCCTGTATCTTGTAATGTGAGCAACTACTTTGAAGATAACAATACACAATGTACTAACCATTGTTACTCTCCTAAAATCTTGTTTTGAAAATTTGTGCCATTATTTTTTCTTTAAAATTAAAAAAAAAAAAAACATCGATACCTATGTCAATACACTTAAGATTCATTGTGCATCTCAGAGGGCTTGAGGTAGCTCAGGGTTGCCTGTTTCACAGGTCAACCAAGTCTTTGTTTATTGGATTCTCCAATACCAATAATGACTCATGTTTAAAACTTGGGAAACTGGGCATGGTGGCACACAGCTGTAATCTCAGAATTTGGGAGGGTAAGGTAAGAGAATCACCACAAGTTCAAGGCCCACCAGAAAGAGACACTGTCTCAAAAAGCAAAACAAAAAACAAGCAAAACCCAGCCTTCGTTTCTCTTATGAGAAACTTCAAAAATATTATATATAATTATAATTTGGGGGGAGGGGGACAGGATGGAAAAAATAACTGAAAGGGAAAAGACTGATGAAAATGGAGCTTTTGCAAATGGGAAGGGGATCAAGAGTTGAAAGGACCAGGGAGGAAAGGGAAGGATATGGGAAAGTGGATGAGAAGAGTAAAATGTATTATGTGTATGTATCAACTCCCTATGACAACTGTAATCTTTACATACTGCAAACATGTACTGATAAAAAAATGAAGAAAAAAGAACATTCTTGTTCTGAGTGCATAGACACACAAGGATATGCTGAGTGCCTAATGAAAGCAAGTGGGGTATGGACTCCCAAAGTCTGTTTCACTGCAAAATCATAGTCCTGTTCAGTGGCATAACTGTCGTATGCTTGGCATGGATAGCACACAGCCTGATAACTTCAAAGTGGCCAAGAAGGCTAGAAGGGACAGACTAACTCTGTTCTACAGGTTTTGGTAAGTCTTCCACCAGGGCCTGGTTGACCCCCAGCACAAGCAGAAAAAAAAGATTTTATTTAGGTCTCAGAAACCTTCTGCAAAGCACCAATAGGTGTGCACTGTTTTGAAGTCTTTAAATTTCTCACCCCAGATGCTGGAAGGGAAGTGTGCAAAACAGAAGTGCAGTGGGCCTCTAAAGATATTTATCACGCATGAGCTCCTTCACACCAGGCCAGTAAACACAAGGTTTCTCCATCTGACCAGCAGAGGGCGTGCTCACACAGCGGCTGCTGCATTGTTTGCCACCAGAGGCTTTGCTAGTGGTGGGCTTTGCCTGAAGCCTCTTAAGAAAAGATCACTTACCTTTCTACTTCAACTGGGCACCCAAGAGCTAGGCAGGCCCATGCTGGCCCCATACAGCGGCAGCTGCAAACATTCCACCCTCATGTTTTCACAACTTGTGAACACCTCTACTTATGATATTCACCCCAATGAATTTGTTTTCAATTACTGTATATTGTCATTGTGTTATAAAGTACTGCACTGAGATGAAAGGAAACCATGTGGACAGAAGAAACATAAGGATTCATAGTAAAAGATTAAATTTTATTAAAACATTAGACCAGTAATATATTCTGAATAAAGCAGTAGCAAGCTATTAACACCCGCAGTTAAATGTCATGATACTCAAGAAAATGCTATTTGTAAAATTATTCATCTTTGTGGTACTGACAATTGAACTCGGCCTCATGCATGCTAGACAAATGCTCCACCACTGAGCTACATCCCACCCAGACCCAATTCTGATTCTTTCAATTACACTCTACAGTCTAACTCATCTTTCTTCAACTTTGAAAAGGACTCATTATTAATGAATTGCTCTACGACCTTTACTGTCACTCAGTGTAGAAGGCAGTCAGCATTTTTCTTGCACTATTTCTTCCATAGTCGGTCCCTAATAGTCTATCATTCTCATCCCATGAAACCCCCAGGGCCTAATTTGCTGGCTTGCTATACTGCACAATCATTTGGTAGCATGTTTATTCCTAATAACTATGGTGCTCTTTTACAGACACAATGTATGGAAATGACTTGTCATAGTTGTATTGTATTCTCTGCCTTTTTAAGTTGCTAGTTTACATAATATTTTAATTTCAAAAGGCAAACTCCTTCTTGAACATTACATATAGGTGATCCTTACCTAATGAAGGTAAGCCCCTTTATCTTATTGGTTCTTTCTCAGAGACCACAATGAAGGGCCTGTAAGGAAGGCAGAATATTAATAGGTCTTAAAGTTCAGGTTCAAAGTCATAAATAGCAAGTAACCTTTTCAAGAAACCTCACATAACTGGATAAAATACTTTATAACCTAATTAGGTATTTCCAAAAATCTTTGTACCTTTTATGTGTTTCAGGTCATGCGTTTCCACATATTTTTAATTGGAAATATTGGGCAGAATGTAATAGTAGAGAGCAAGAGACTGAGTTCTTCTTGGAATAAATCCTAATCTAGAGTTATCATCATTTGTTAATAGCTTTACTACATAAGGACCCTCCATTTATACGGTTTCAAAGATACATATTTTCAAAGATGTGTATGTTGATGTCTAGTGTAAGACTTGGATTAAAGCCTGTGCTGTATAATTTGTAAGATTTCTTTTTAACATGGACTCGGAAGTCTATGGATGCTTTAACTATTGATAAATGGTGTTCAACAGTCATTGCATTTATAAATACTCTTAAAAATGAAGTCTCTGATGTTATGCAAGAAGTTGTGACTAACTGCATTCACTTATAAGGTTTCTGTCCAGCATGAGTTCTCCGATGACTTGCAAGGTTGGAACTTCTACTAAATACCTTGCCACAGTCTTTACAAGTGTAAGGTTTTTCTCCAGTATGAATTGCCTGATGGGTAGTTAGGCTTGAACGCACACTAAAGGCTTTGCCACACTTATCACACTTGAATGGTTTTTCTCCTGTATGAGTCCTCCGGTGACTCGCAAGGTGCGAGTTTTGGGTGAAGACTTTGCCACACTCATTGCACTTGTATGGTTTTTCTCCAGTGTGGATTGCCTGATGGGTGGTCAGGCTTGAGTACACACTGAAGGCTTTGCCACATGCATTACACTTGTAAGGTTTCTCTCCAGTGTGAATTCTCCGATGATTTGCAAGGTGTGAATTTTGAGTGAAGACCTTGCCACACTCAGAACATTTATAGGGTTTTTCTCCAGTATGGATTACCTGATGAGTGTTTAGGTTTGAATGTGAATTAAAGGCTTTGCCACAATGATTACACTTATAAGGTTTCTCACCAGTGTGAATTCTCTGGTGAATTGCAAGGCTTGAAGTCTGACTGAAGACCTTGCCACATTCATTACACTTGTAAGGTTTTTCTCCAGTATGGATAACCTGGTGGGAAGTTAAGCTAGAACGCACACTAAAAGCTTTGCCACACTCATTACATTTGTACGGTTTCTCTCCAGTATGAACTCTCCAATGCCTTGCAAGGTTTGAAGTCTGACTAAAGACTTTGCCACACTCATCACACTTGTATGGTTTCTCTCCACTATGAACTCCTCGATGACTCGCAAGGTGTGAGTTCTGGGTGAAGACCTTGCCACACTCATCACATTTGTAAGGTTTCTCTCCAGTGTGGATTGCCTGATGGGTGGTCAGGCTTGAGTATACACTAAAGGCTTTGCCACACTCATTACACTTGTAAGGTTTCTCTCCTGTGTGGATTCTCCAGTGATTTGCAAGGTGTGAATTTTGAGTAAAGACCTTGCCACACTCAGAACATTTATAGGGTTTTTCTCCAGTATGGATTACCAGATGGGTGTTTAGGTTTGAATGTGAACTGAAGACTTTGCCACATTCATTACACCTATAAGGTTTCTCTCCAGTGTGAGTTCTCCGGTGAATTGCAAGGCTTGAAGTCTGACTGAAGACCTTACCACATTCATTACACTTGTAAGGTTTTTCTCCAGTATGGATAACCTGATGGTTAGTGAGGTTTGAACGAACACTGAAGGCTTTGCCACAGTCATTACATTTGTAAGGTTTCTCCCCAGTATGAATTCTCCGATGACTTGTAAGGTGTGAATTTTGAGTGAAGACTTTGCCACATTCATTACACTTGTAAGGTTTTGCTCCAGTGTGATGTCTCTCATGTACCAAAAGGTATGAACGTCTGAAAAATGCCTTACCACACTCAATACATTTGTACAGTTTCTCTCCCGTATGAATTCTCCGATGATGTGCTAGAGATGAGGTGTAACTAAAGACCTTGCCACACTCACTGCATCTGTAAGGTTTCTCCCTAACATGAGCTTTTTGTCTTTGTGTGAGTAATGAAGAATAAATAAAGTCATTTCCATATTCCTGAAAAATATGTGCTTTCACAGGAGAAGGAATTCTGTGGAGTGGTGAAACTGAGGAACCACGGTTGATAGACTTCTCAACTTCATTACTATCAGTTTTCCCTTCAGATTGAAGTGTCTGCAGTTCAGGTAAATGTGCCTGAAAGCTTAAGCCAAGCCAATTTTTCATGAACTTATTTCCTGTATCCCTTTCATCACCCTGATCTCTTCTACCAGTGGGACTTTCTTTCTGAACCACAAGCACTCCATTGTAACTTCTTTCATCATCTTTCCACTGAAACTCAAATTCATGTATATTTTTTTGGATATCCCTGAGTGTAGAGCTTTTGATGTCATTCCTTTCATGTCTTTCCAACATCACTCTTTTGAATATTTCTCCTGCACTGTTCTTCCCTTTTGGTGATGATCCCTTTATCACACGTTTAGGAGAGATATCTACAAGATATAAAGTAACATATATTTCTGATTAATTAGATTTAAGTTCACATTGAAAAATATAGCCCCAAAGTATGATATTTTTAATTATGAAAGGCAGTTACATATAATTCCAATTAATAGGAGGAAAGCCAAGTTTCTTTTCTATCATGGCTGAAAAGCACATTACTAATTGACAAAAAACATATGGTCACCTCATAAATGAAGAGAAAAAAGTTCATATTTATTATGCATAAATAAATCCTAAAATACCATATGATATATTGCAATGGTAAATAACCCCAGAAAATTCATGTAATGGATTAATGAATGGTAACTTTTAATTCCAAAACAATAAAAACAATGGGTAAAGAGGAAAAATTCAAAAAAATGATGCCAGAAAAAAACATATCTTGGAATTTCTGTTATAAAACTACCCATACCTTCATAGAGCAGGAGTTTCATAATATTAACCACTAGTGCATGACAGGTTTATTGCATAATGCATGCTGAAAAATCATCATCTGTAGATCATCATAAAAATTACAAAAAATTCTAGTAAGCCACAATAAAATAACCAGGCAAATAGAGAATAACTATATTTATACAAAGTTAGAGATTATGAGTTATTTTTTTTTAAGAAAAAGCAAGGCTTGCCAGGCTTGGTGGTACATGCCTGTAACACCAGTACTCAGGAGGCTGGGACAAGAGGATCACTGTGAATTCAAGGCCAGCCCCGGCTATATAATGAATTCAAGGCCAGCCTGAAATACATAGTGAGATGCTGTCTCAAAACACAAAAAGCAAGGGTTTGTAAGAAACAGTACACAGAAATGGAATATGGTTTTCTAAATGTTTCACTGAATACCTAACATTGAAAATACATTATATATACATATAAGGAATGAGTTAATGTCAAGATAAATGTTTATAATGTGGAAATGGTGAATAAAAACTTATTACCATATCTATCACCTCAAAAACTTGTTAGTTATTCCTCTTCTTTGCTTAAAATATACCCTTTATCAACAACTTAGTGTTATATCTACCTACCAGCCTGCCATTCTTTCTGCTTCTAGGAGTCCAGTTGGTTTAGATTGTTTATTACTGAGAACCTAGTATTGCATTTCTCTGCTTGACTTATTTCACTTAATAACACATTCACCAGGTGGATACACATTGTTGTAAACAGAAGTACCTTCCTTTGAAGGCTGGAGAGTATTCCCATCTGTCTATATACATGTTCTTAATCCATTATCTGTTGATGGACATGCAGGTCAGTTACACACCTTGACTACTGTGAATAATGCTGCAGAGAACACAGACTGTAGATTATTTCTTGGAAACCCTGATCTCAAGTTCTTTGCATATATGCCTAGAAGCTAGATTGTTGAATTACACAGTAATTCTATTTGTAATTTTAAATTTTATTTACTTTTTTTTTGTAGTGTTGGAGATCAAACCAAGGCCTGTGTACTTTGGAGCTACATCCCCAGCCCTTATTTTTAGTTTTCCAGAAGCCACATATAATCCTCCATTATGAATGCACTAGTTTACATTTCCATCAACAGTGTACAACAGTTACTTTTTCTCCACATCCTTGCCAATACTTACCTTTTATCTTTCTGACAAAAGCTATTCTGATAGGTAGAAAACAGAATCTTATTTAGACTTAAATTTTTATTTCTATTGTTAGTGATATTAATCATCTTTTCATGTACCTGTTACCTGTTTCTATATGTCTTTCATGAAATGTCTATTAAATTCCTTTTCCCACTTCTTAATTGTATTAATGCTATGGCTGTTTCAGTTTTTTACATATCTTTATATGTTAATGCTCTATTAGATATACAGTTTACAAATATTTTTCTCAGTGCTATGCTCTGTTGAACAGAACCATTTTCTTTTGATGTAATCCATTTTTCTGTTTTTGCTTCTGCTATCTGAGCTTTAGACATCAAACCCCAAACCAACTGCTCAGACCAGTGTTATGGAGCAGCTTCTCTGTCCACTTTGTCTTACCTGTATTCAGTCCTTTGTGACAGTCCCACCTATTTGTTCTTTCTACTTTCATTTCATTTTCCACAGTCCAGGGCTCTCTTCCTTGTTCCAATATAGAAATAACACTCAGGTTAGGAAGAAAGATTCCTATTTATAAAAAGAAAGGAAATCAATATTCTGTGGCTTTTCTAGAATCCAGATCTATGTTTATGTGGACACAGAAAATATTCTAGATGGCTCTACAAAATATTTAAAATAAATAACATAAATAAAATAAATAAATTAAATAAATTCATTATTTCTTTAGGCTTGGGAAATGTTTTAATATGCAGACATCTATCTAGGTCTTTCCCAAGAACTACTGAATCAAAAGAACAGGGAAAGAAAAAAAAAGAATTGGACATTTTAAATCTGCCATAAGAGCCAAGGATGTAGCTCAGTGTTAATGCACTTGCCTAGCACATGCAAGCTTGAGTTTGATCCCCAGCACTGTTTAAAAAAGAAATGTCTGCCATGAGATTGTATGCATAGTGCAGTTGTATAGCTACCCAATTATGTATCAAAAGTAGGCAGAAAATGTTAAGAAAGGGGATGGCTGAAGTGTAGAGGGTACACCAGAAAGCTTTTCAATTCTGTGTCAACAAAGCTTCAACTTCAGCTAAAGGCACAAAATGGGAAACTACACAGAAGGCAGATCAATTTCTGGAGGAAAGCCATCCTCACCAAGGGAGAGCAGGTTCCTGTAGTTCTCCAACATCACGTCCCTGTACAAAGTCCTCTGAGCAGGATCCAGGCATTTCCACTCCTCCTGGGAAAATTCTATGGCCACATCCCTGAATGTCAAGCATCCCTATAGTGAAAAACAGATGTCACCAGTGGATAGTTATGATCACCACATAAAGTAAAAAAGAAGAGAGCTGTAAGGAGAGATTTAACTGGAGTGAGTGAACTAAATCCATGTTGCGACATTATGAAATACATACCTGGTCTTTGTGCTTCCAGATACATAGTCCACTTGGAATCTCTAGGTGATAAAGATGCTTATATATACTAATAAGATGACGAGTGGCAAGAGGACCCTAGATAGTTTTTGGAAGGGGATGAGTCACCAGAAAAACTAAAAGGAAGGTGGGGTGGTACAAATTTGTAATCCCAGGACTCTGGGAGGCTGAGGAAGAGGGAGTGGAAGTTTGAGTCCAGTCTGGGCAATGTAGTCACTTAACAAGATCCTATCTCAAATAAAGCATAAAAAATGGGCTAAGGATGTAGCTCAGTGCAAAGGCCCTGGGTTCAACCCCCAGTAGGAAGAGAGAAGAGAGGAGAGGGAAGGGGATGGGAGGGGATGGGAGAGGAGGGAAGGAGAGGAAAAGGGAGAAGAGGACAGAGAAAAAATATATACAAATAATCATACAGATAAGCTTATCTGTATAGAATTGTTAGACATTACGTTTGACCCACCAATACATACTCAGTAGCTAGATGAGCTATAGCATGAATGGTGACTTCAAACATGAGGGTCTATAGGGGATTTTTTTTAAAGTCAGAATCTTAAAACCATGAGGACAGCAACAGCAATAACTAAAGTTTGGGAACACATGCAAGTGCTGAGCATCTCACATGCACTGTACTGGCTCGTAGAGCGGCATGATGTCCTAGGAGAAAAAGACAGGTATAGCTTTGCATCTGAGGGCGAGCTGTGTCACAGACACCAGGCAGATTCTGCTCAGGTAAACGAGCTAAAAATGGGAGAGGAAGCACCTACCGTCAGGTGTCTGAGACTGGAACTGAGCCTAAAGAATCAGTGAGGTAACATAGCATCTAAAGTAAATCGTTCATAGATGAAAGCTTAGGAAGTTCAAGGGCAACACAAAACTTCTAACGTCAGTATATATCCACACATGCAAGCATATGATACATAGTATTCTTAATACAGTAGTGTCAACTCATTAACAGGATAGGGTATAGCTAATTAAGGCTGCAGAAAGTAAGCTATAATTTTAACTGACAAAAACATAAAAACTGTCCTCTATAAAACATGGTAAAAACATGCAAACTACAGATGAAAGGAAATTCCAGGACATCAAGATGGTGATGATTTCTTGTATGTGACATAAAAGTACAGGTGAGAAAAGCAAAATCAGACCAATGGAACTATATCCAATTGGAAAACTGTATAAAAGAATTCTACTGAGTGAAAAAGTTTAAAAGAAAACTAACAGAAATTTGAAAAGAAAAAAAATAGAATGGCTTCACAAACCACATGTAAACCTCTTATGATATATATTATCTTCAGTTTTTAACATGAACCAGGGGACTGGGGATGTAGCTCAGTGGTACAGTGCTTGCCTATTACACATGAGGCCCTAAGTTTGATGTCTAGCTAGTGCTGCAAAAAAAGTAAAAGGACATCAAATTAAATAAATAAAATGAACCAAAAACATGTGCACAAACATGCAAATAAGAGATATAAACAAATTATTAAACAGCAAAACATTAGATCCAGCCAGGTGTGGTAGGCACATCTGCAACCTCAGTGCTTTGGGCAGCTGAGGCAGGAGGATCAAAAGTTTAGGCTCAATCTGGACAATTCAGTGATTTAGCAAGAACCTGTCTAAAAGTAAAAGAAAATTAAATTTAAAAATTAAAAAAAGTAAAACACAAAATCTAAAAGAAACATAGTACTTTACAATCTTGTACTAAAGGAAGCTCCATATGAAGAAACAAGCTAAAAGCTGAGTACAGTGGAGCATGCCTACAATCCCAGCTACTTGGGAGGCTGAGATAGGATGGTCATAAGTGAGAGGCCTGCCTGGGCAACTCAGACCCTGCCTCAAAATAAAGAAAACATAAAGCTCTGAGGATACATGTCAGTGCAACAGCCCAGGTTCAATATGTAGTACTAAAGAAGAAAGCAAAGTATAACATAAAAAAATGAGATTTCAAAACAAGATATGGCAGCCCTACAATCCCAGCACTCTGGGAAGCTGAGGCAGGAGGATTCCAATTCTGATCCCAGCCTGAGCTACTCAGTGACTTAGTGAGACCCTGTCTCAAAATTCAGAAAATCAAAAAAAGGACAAAGGGGTGTCAGTATGAAGGCCTGGGGGCTCAGTCCCCAGTGCTGCCAAAAAAGGGGGAGGGGACAATACGATATGTATAAATAAGTAAAATTATAAATAGCTCATGAAAATAATAAACCACAAGAAAATAAAATTGCAATATATGAAAACTGCAACATATGAAAATCCTTTTTATATATATATATCCACAAAGCCAAGAAACCTACTCAAAATCACAAGGAATTGGCATATGGAAATACAAACCGTTTAGTTTGTCTCTAGACTGTCAAACATAAAAGAACTCATCAACAAGTTTTACTTGACGGGGAATATGTTACTGGTGGGAAGGAGTTTCTTTGCAAGTGGAGGTAAAGACTGACCTTTATGGAACTAATAAAGCAGGAAAGCATCCTAGGGGAAATTGCCCTTTCCACTGCCCAACCAACAGAAGCACTCAGACACCTGCAGTGAAAGCAAAAGGCAGCCACTGTGGCATTCTTTGTAAAAGTGAAAAAGTAAGAGACACGCGCCTTCATTCTCAGGATGCTCCCACAAGAATGCGGATGAGTAAGCCATCTTTGTTTCCTAACAGGAAAGCATGTGAATTTCTAAATCCTGGAGATAAAACATCACAACAAAACATTCACTGAAGAATCCTCTCTCAAATCGTACAGTGATGTGCAAATACACTTGTCCCACACATGAATAGACTCCTGCCACAGACGTGACAACAGTGGCCTCCTGCTCATACGTGACCCGGGGAGAAGACAAGGCGAGGACAAGGTTTACATCTCAGTGCCCAAGCCTCGTGACTGTCTGCGGCTTTACTATAAGACAAATGCGTATGTCACACGCTGCTACACTTCTTGTTGAACATTTAATACTAACTGCTGGGTGGAGATTATGGTTCCATCCCCACTGATGGTCTGCTGTGATGCCGGAGTGAAAACATGATCATTCCCCCTCCAAATACCTGGTGCTTAAGAGTCCCTGCAACAACACCAGTCTCCCAGGGATGGAAGGGGTAAAAACAGTTTAAAGAATGTTGGGCTACTAGACACTGAGGTAGTTTAATATTTTAAATTGGCAGAATAAAGCAGCCCCTATCACTGTGTCTAACTTTCCATTCCATTTCCAGTCACTCAGATTTTAGTCAGAAACACTGAGTCGCTTGATTATGTACAAATGTATTACATAGTGTTAGGCAGAACACATTTCCTCCATAGGCCTCCCTTTCTTGAACTTAGGAGATATTTGTTTATATTAATAAGTGACTTCCATGAACAGCCTCTTTATCTACATCTACCTGCAGATGTGCCCTTAACAACCCTGCTGCCTGCAGCACTGACACGTGGTGCCCACATCTGTCTCCCATGCCTGCCATGGCGGGAAGCCCTTCCCAGGATCATGACTAGCACAGCCTCCTCACATGATCCACATCACTGGTCACAGTGAATCTTACGAGACATGAGGAGGGCCAAGGGGGGCCCAGGAGACTGAGCAAAAATGTCAGATGACAGACTCAGAGGTTGCAGCGCCCATGCACAGCACTTCAGGAAGGAGGGAGACGCGAACAGGCAACTGACAACATCACTTTACCTGAGCAAGAGCCATTCTTGACTCCTTTTCTTCCCGCTTCCTCCTCTTCCAGGCTCCTTCTGCAGGTAACATGAGTTTTTGGAAGTCAAACCTGAATGTTGAAAACACACTGGTTAAAGCTCAGAATGGACACATGCTCTTCCTATACCACAGCCACACACACCGGGAGGACCCGCCATGAGGAAAGACAGTCCACTGCTGCCCACTGCATAGGGAGAGGGTAGGAAGGAGAGGTGGGGACTGGGGATCATATATGCAGGGACACAGACTCCTACAAGAAGACCAGCAGGAGACTTCATGACACTTCTTCAGAGCTCACTCCCTCCCTGGGGCTTCGCCAGAGAACAGACCCAGGCCTATCCGAGGCTGAACACAGCAAGCCCACCTCATACCTCTATGAATCACAAGCTGATCTTGGCCCTAAGAAAAGCAGGACAGTCTGGGTGCCCGGTGTTGTGCACAGAATGGAATCAACTTTAATATTATGAAGCCTGGGTCCCAGGCTGACCATGGGAATGGCCCTCTCTGGTCAGGGGCCACAGGAAACTTATTTGCAAAACATTCCAATAGGAATCCAGGGTTGAGCACCACCCACCAGGGCAAGCCCAGCCCCCTCCCACCTTCTGACTTCGCTCTCCCTTTGGAGCCTTGGTGTCCCCAGGATCCACACAGTAGACTGGGAAGGACCAGAAAGAAATTGCAGAGCAGGCAACATGGAGCAGAGGTGGGTTAGGGTGTGGTTAGGATGGCAGTGCAAGGCGGAGGCCACAGAAGTCTCATGGAGATGCTAATATCAGAACAAAGACCAGGAAGGAAGGTGTCTGCCACCTGCAGCTGATGGGCCAATGAGTTTAAGCAGAGACAGAACCCAGGGAAGGTCCTGAGCCAGGAGCTACAGTGGTGGCAGGAAAAGGCAGGAGGCCTGTGCAGCTAGGGCAGAGCAAGCAGGGAGGATACCGCAGGAGACGAAGGCAAGGGCAACTTCTAGAAATGGACCAAACTGGGCTGAAACTGTCAAACTTCTACACCTCAAAGAAATTTTGAAACAAGCTTCCTTGCCTGTTTTAAGTAAATATGTAATTTTTCTTCATTTTATAAATCAAACATCTTCTATCTTCTGTTTTATAAATAGTACAGACAGAGGGCTGGGCATGTAGTTCAGTGATAGAGCAGTTGCCTAGCATGCATGAGGCTGTGGGTTCAAGTCCCAGTACCACATAACAAAAACCAACAACAAAATTAAACAATTAACTAATGAAGTGATTTAAATAAATACAGGCAGAGAGACTCAGCCAAGTCCCAGGAAGTACAAAGTCAGCCAAACTTCGATGCTGAGGGTTACACAGGGTGTACGTGCCTATTCATCTGCATCGTCTTAACATCGTCTCTCCCTGGATGTTGTGAGGCAGTCTGACAAATTAACCTGAGCAGATGAGTCAGGAGAATCCCTGATTTATAGCCAGTGGGCCAGCAGTTTAGGTCCCAACCTGATACCATATAAACTGGCACCCCAAGTGGAGGCAGTGTGGGTCTGAGGCCTCACCCTATGGGATCAGATGCTATCTCCAGGCAGAGACCGCCAGATCTGAATTAACTTACAGAGCCCTATGCTAGTGTCTCAAGGAGAAGGGCTTGCTCAATCAGCAGAAATCCTAACACAATCTCGTGACCAGAAGTGAACTGCTCTGTGCTGTGTTCACCATCAAATGTGACTAGGAAACCCGCCCTGCTGTCCTTGATCTCAGACACTCCCCAAATCACAATCCATTCCAGGAAAACAGGGTAATCCACAAGTGAAATGAGTCAGATCACCACCTTCACACTGAATAGTGCTACAAAGAGAAAGCCACCCTCCAATTCCCAAAACTGCACAATACGTATGTCTTATAGGGGGAATCACAAGTCTCATCCCCGTCTGTATGATTTAAACAAATTTTAAATCCACTGAATTATACATACAGAAATCAGTGTATTACAGTTTAAAGATTCGTGTCCAGTTGACCACCACTGATCTGGACCCAGGGCCCACTCTTCCGCTTCATTTTTCTCCCTTCCTGTTTCTCTCCATCACTCTGTACCACTTCATTCTAACGTCTCTTCAGCTCGTCTTTCCTTTTCTCCCCTCCACCACCATTTCTGCTCATTGCTTCCTTCTCTCCCGATTTCTTCCCGAAGTTCTTTCCCCTCTATTCTGTTTTTTTTTTGTTTTTTGTTTTTGGGGTTTTTTTCTTTGTCTTTTTGAGACAGGGTCTCGCTATGCAGTTCAGGCTGGCCTTGAGCTCACTTTGTAGCCCAGGCTGGTCTCAAAATGGCAACACTCCTTCTGCCTCAGCCTCCTGAGTGCTAGGATGATAGGCGTGCATCACTCTGCCTCGTTCCTGTAACTTGTTTCACCTCTGGTCGCTCTTTCAACTCAGTCGTTTGATTGTCCTGTCTTCCCCTATTTCTGCCTCTTTCTTCCCCGACGAATGCTCCTCCTCTCCCTGCCTGCTGCAGCCCCTCGGCCCCGCTCTCTGGACCCGACAGCCTGAGGCCTCCGTCCTTTGCTCCCCTTGTCACCTGCCACCCTCTCCTCTTGTCCCAAACCACTCTGCTGTCTGCCCAGGGTGCAGATCACCTCTCCCCTCCGCTTGCTCTCCTAGGTGCCTGCCCTTTCCAGCCCCTCCCCCTATATCACTACCCTTCCTTTCCCTGGAGACACAGAATCTTCAATGTCTCTATTTGCTTTTCTCCCCTGCTACCTTCCTAGCTGCTTCTTTCACGCTCAGCATTTCTGCCGTCCCTCACCCGCCCTCTGCTGTGCCATCTGTTTATGGCTCTACCTCTCCTGACCCCTTTGCCCATGGCTCACAGGGCGGGCACGGAT